TTTATGGTAAATGGACAGTGACTAACGATAAATACAAGCTGAAAATGGTTTCTCCTTCAATCAAGTCTCATGATAAACAAGGCTGATTCACTGTTTTGTGAGGGATTTGAAGCAAACTTTTGATAGATAAATTAGTTTGAATATATTTTTAGTCCATATATTTCATCAAATCACAGTTTGTACAAGGAAAGGCATCTTTAATACCATTTTACAACAATGTTGTTACCAGTAAAACTGGTTATTATTATTTGATTTTTATTAAGATTTAGATCATTTGTTGACTAACGCATATGACAATTTTACCAACATGATTTATACCGAAAGTGAAATAATTTTTGCACAAACTGTATTTTTGTACACCTACATTTCGTTTCGTTATTTAAACTTTCAAAGGCCTCCACAACATGAAGATCTGACCAGTTGTTGTAGGATGTCATGTCAGTTGGATTGATTAACCAATCATCATCTGTGTTTCAAGTGGGTATTCGGAAGTAGAATTTTTGCTTTGATTTGTTTTGTTTGCTATCACTGCGAATGTCTATTTACAGTTCCGAATGCTAGACGACAAGAACTGGATTCAAAAGACCACGTGATTGACTAATCCCTCAGATCCAGCAGAATACAGTTTATTTAACAACCATTCCAGATCCTAGTAGTGTAGTGAAGACAAGTAAAACGAAATTTTGAACTAAATAGGATCTGTGTTTTAATCAGATTGATATGGGCATAATATGTTGTCGCCACTGTTCATCTGTGGAGGCAACAGTTTTTATCTTATGTTTTCAGAAAACCTTGTTTGTACTCCTTTTCCTCAAACAAATAACAAACACAAGATGATTGGTGTGAAATGTCATGTGTCTAGTCGGATAGATGGGTTTCGATTCAGCCCAACGATCCTCAGAAGCATGAAGTTCTTTGGGTAATCGCTTGATAGTTCTAATAAACACATATCTTTAATGCAATCTAATTATGTTTTAATTAGTTTTGGAACCCATGCTTCAGTCGTTATTTAATGGATGACATTTCATACTATCAACGCAAAGGCTTAGATAAAATTTTTGTGCACACTGGAAGCTACAACGTGTTGTTAATGGCGGGAATAGACTAGAAGCACAACCTGATATACACAACGGGCTTAGCACAAACATTATTATTACATTATATGTTATTAACATGATAAAAGATTACAGATTTTAGTGGACTTCCATTAAATTTGGTGTCAAACATTAGAGCTGTGAGCGGATGGACCCTATTGATTTTCAACAATTTAGGACTTTCTTTTCCAGAGATAAATTATGTGTCAGGAAAATAGTTCTATTAGAGATAAAGCTATCTTTTGTGTTTCAGACAAATTTGTTTTCAAATAAATTGTTTAAATTTAACAGGTATTTCTTGATATGTTTCATTAGCACAGAAAATGATGCAATTTAATGATGAAAGGTCACTGGTGAAATCAATCATATTTTCATGTGGATGTATATTGTCATCGCCCCTGTCATTCTGTGTGTCCGTACATTCATGTGTCTGTTCCTCTGTTCACATTTGTTTGGGGACACTCAAGAGGTCTCAGTTTTAATCAGATTTTGATGAAACTTGAAATATAGGTTTATCGCCCAAAGATCACGGTTCTTTTCAAAATTAGCATGTACTGTATCGTAACTTCAAGAATTATGGCCCCTTATTGTAAGGAAAAGCACGTTTTTAGCTTGTGGACACTCTAGAGGTCAAAATTTTTCTCCGATTTTGATGAAACTTGAAATGTATGTTTATAACGATCTCGGTTCCTGTCGATATTCGTGCATATTGGACCGCAACTTCTTGTAATATTATACCTGATTGTATGAAAATCAAGTTTTTAACTTGTGGCCCCTCTAGAAGTCACATTTTTTAGCCGAATTTAAAAACTTATGATGTATCATCGTCAAACCCTATTGACGCAAATAGTGTAAAGGTATGTAATACCAAGGTTGTGGACTAGTGTTGCTATTTCAAAAATTTTCTTGTTGGACATGTTTACAGAAAATAAAGGGGCATAACTCTTATTATTTAAGTAGGCGGTTTCAAACCACAATTAAAAATGGTGTCAACTAAATATTCAAATTTGTACGTAATGAAAAATAGGTGCACATCGTTATTTGTCATAATTAATTCCTGTATTCCTGTAGTCAATTTAAGGCAGCAATATTCCTACAAAATTACGTGTTGTCGTAATACGATGGAATAAAAGTGAGCCGACTACTGCCAACCCATACTTTTTTTTCAAATTCACGCCAGTAATATTCCTCCAAAATTACCGTATTTTTGGGGGTATAAGTTGATACTTTGTTCAGCAGAAGTCAAGCATTTGTCTTATACTTCGTTTCAACTTACATACGGAGGAAGGTAAAAAAGAAATATGACATCCCGAAAATTTTATGGCAGTAACCTTCGCTCCACGATACCGAGCGAGTGACATCATCTGCGCTATCGCCTCAAACAATTAACTACTTACACTATTCCAATCGAAATATCTGTCGACATTTCTTAGCTTTTTTATTTCTTTTTTTAAAAACAAACCCCATTCAAAATATTATCATAAACCCAAGAATATGCCAATAAAATAAAAAATCTTTTCTCCGACATTACTCAAATGATAATTGTCACGTTTTCATCTCTCATAATTTCATGCGTCTGGTGAGATTTCTACTGTAGTTTTCAGTTATTGTATTATAACTATTTGCAATTAGAAACAGAGCCTGCATTGTCTCGTATTGATGGGATATGTGTGTATGTGGAATAGCTTTTTTCAATGTCCGCTTCCACCGAAGGTATATATTGATTTGGGGTGTTATATATTATTAGGATATGTGGCATATATGACTAGTTTCTACATGTTGTTGGCTGACACCAAGGAGATTAAAATATCTGAGTTAATCACGTAGATAAGTGTATAATCACTCTTATTGGCTTGATACATACTCCGACAAAGAAAAAGCAATGACTTCTGTTCAGGTTTGGATTGATGAATTGTTCGACAAAGGATTAAGTCAGCCAATCAAGACAGATTAAGTAGTTAATCAAGGTAGGTGTATAGACGGTATAACACGATAAATACGTTGATCACTTAATTACCTAATCAATCCAGCCTATTATCAATGATAATCGGGATGAGTAATAGTTATACACCCAGTCAAATAATTTTGGAAATTTGAATATTATTCACCATATCTTGATGTCCGATTGGGCATATTCCTGGTTGGACGTTTGGAAAATAGTGTAGGACATGTCCGGCATATACGGGCGAAATAGCATGCATGTTGTTGACCCTGTAGTGGTCAAAATTTTTATCCCATTTTGATGAAACTTAAATTATATGTTTATATCCAAAGTATATCAGTCTCTTTCGATATTCACGCTTATTGGACCGGAATTTGGTTCCTTTTGATATTGTCGCTTGTTGGACCACAACAACCTGGATTGTGGCCCCTGATTGTACGAAAATTATCGCTTTTTTTTTTGACATGTTCTCTGTCTTTCTCTTTCAATATGTGGCAGTATATTGCATGGCAACAGCATGTTTTATGTCCTCTCCCCTATGGAGCTAATTTATTACATAGTTTATAGTTTGATAATGAAAATAAACTCCCCAGAGCCAAAAAGTCTGATGAAATAAAAGTGATTTTTAAAACCAGAACAGCCATCAAAATGTCATTTATAAAGGGGGGAGGGGAAGTACTTGATAATGACAGTTTTGAGTAAATCCCTGTTCAAAATATGGAGAATGTAGTACAAACAAATGAACAGATTGAAATTTTGTTCCCCTAGTCAATTAACCCACCTGTACATGTCCTCTGAAAATGTACCCCCCTAAATTAACCGTATTTGCAGATTCTTTTCAATTTTGAGCATTAATAACATCCAATAGTGGCTTATCATACAAATTTATGAAGGTTTTTTTTATGGTACTGAGTCCAAATATGGCCTCAGAAATGATCCAACATGGCGGAAATCCAATATGTCAGCTAAAATCGATCATTTTCTGACAAAGATAACAAATACAACACAATAATATGCTTGTAATATGTCTTCTTACAGGTTTTCGAGGGTGCTGATTAAGAATAAATGGTCAGAAATAGAACAGAAACATACAATGTGGCGGTAATACCATTACAAACATATTAAACATATTACAAACATATTATTGTGTTGTATTGGTTATCTATGTCAGAAAATGGTTGATTTTAGCCGCCATATTGGATTTTTGGAGATTATTTCTGATGCCTTATTTGTATAACTGGCCAATATAGCTGGCCAGTAGAAAATAACTTCAGAAGAATTAATCAAAATTTAATAATTTTTTGACCAATGTTCTTTTTGGTAAGACTACTTCTTATAGTTTATTGTCTAATAGTCTATTTTTGCCTTTTAATCTGGAAGGTTGGGGCTTTTAGTCTTCCGACTACTGTATTCAAATGAAAGCTAAATTGTATCAAACTCCATAGCTATTATCACAAATCAGATGAAACCATTTCAGCAAGTCTCTGAAATGTGGACATAACTTTCACAGTGCAAATTTAAACGTAAGTCCCCTTGTTGTGGATGGTAACCAACTGATATGGAAAAATATTTGTTTGCAATCCTGGTAATGAAAGTTCAGCGTGATCTAGAACAATCTTGAGCAATACTGTAAAATTAAAGCAAACTTCAACTGGACTACTGTCTTAGCAATACAAGTTTACTCAACATTAGATTCATAATACCCAACAAAATATATAATATATATTACAACAAAAATAAATATATGTTATACAAACAGGATTTCAGAAAGATACTTATTAAGCAAAGTTTTTGGGCCCATAGAAAAAAGTATTTTTTTTTTTGTTTAAAAACCAACCAATTAATCATACACTTGGTCCCTGCAAGTTAAATGTATGCGCTCACTACGTGAATAGGGAATTTCAATACTGTCAGGGGGGATGTTAGTAGATAATTCAGAATCAACAGAAGTACGAGGAGAATACCTTGATACAACTGTCAGATGGGTAACTACACCTGAATCCATTTCAGTTACTTCTTTGACATGTTTGCCCTTTTTACATAACATTTTCATATATTTTGATGAGTCTTTTCCGTTTACTTTGATGGTATCCATTTGATAGTTATGTGTGAACGAATGGAGATTATTTTTTTCACGATATGAGATGCAGGAGCAAAATGTTCGCACAAAGGTTCGACGGAATTTTTGTCCAAGGGCACAATACAACATGAAGTTAATGGCACTGTTAAAAGTTACAAGAAAGTTCCGAATAGAAGAAAGGATTTTCCATCCAAACATACTTCTGGTAGCTTCTATGTCAATGGCATAAGCCATGTTGTAGATGAGAGCTGGCACTTGACACATCATAAAAACGATTACAACTGAGACCAACATAATGGTGACATTGTTCTCACGTGACTGTCTTACATTCATATCTATCCTCTGTTGTTGAGAATGTTTAACAGCTATAATGAGAAGAGTGTTCAACACAGCCAGTGAACACAGTGGTATGACACACATCACCAAAAAGTACAACCAGCCAAAATATATCTTGTGGTAAAGTGGGCTTTTTCCAAATTCTGTTTGATCGACGATCACACATGTCTCATTGGTTGGTCCGTATTTATAATCTATGATCTGATAATCAAACCAACGAGGTATGTTGTAAATTAAACTGATGGCTGATATACCAATGATGACCAAACGAGCACGAGCAATAGTACACATACTGGCAGCTTTTAAAGGATGACAAACAGCAATGTAACGTTCCACTGTGAAAGATACAGTCAACCATATTGTGGAAGTTTGAGCGGCTAAAGCAATTGGGTAAACTATTATCACAATGTAGGGAAATGCTGCAGACTTAAAGTAAGTTGACAGTGTTCCCAGGCAGATCAAAACAAAAGTGGACAAAAGAACTATGGAGTCCCAAATAGCCAAGGCAGTAAGGAAGAAGTTAGTCGATGTGTGCATTGTCCTTCTTGTTAGTACTATAACAGTGAGTAGGTTTCCAATAAGGCCGAGGGTAATAACGATTGTAGTAAAGATACCATTCAAATAAAATTCCACCTCCTTTTCCCAGTTCTCTTGTGGTATTTCAAAGTGACACATGTTGGGAATTGGTGGGAGTTTAGTAACCAACAGACTGCTTTCTACTGTATCTGTTATATTGACACTATAATTGATGTATTTCGCCATTTTAGCCATTGGATGGTCAGTTGTTAAACAGTAAAGTATAAATTCCAAAAAGAAGAATGGTTGTAAGATTTGATCACTGATATGCCATTTATAGAAAATATAGAATAATCCTCATAGTAAGCCAATCCTTGTTGATGTTGCTGTTTTAATCTGAAATATACAAAAAAATACAATCATAAGTACAGGTAAACAAAGTACCATACATAATTTATAAGAATGTTATATAATGTTCCAAGTTATGTTGCCATAATAAAATAAGAACAATGATTTGATATGATGGGACTTACTTTACTCAACAATTTTATTCTGTCACATAGCCATATATATTTGGAAATACATTTTAAATTGGCATGTTCTGAATTAAATATAGGTATAAGCCACCATCCTTCATGTCAGAATCAAGTTGACCCAATGACTGAAACTGTACATATTTCCAAAATTAACTGCTAATGATAATGTTGGTTTAAATGAGTAATCATGGTCCTAACACTAGAAAGTGACTAGGGGTCGTTCGACTCATTACATGGGTGAGACTCATTACTAAAACTAGGCAGATGTTTACCTGAAATGTTAGGACAAGTTGGGTTAATTATTTATACAAGTTATTGCAGTCTTTATTTACCATCTGGCCTACTCCAGAAAGAACAGTGATTTTAGTTTTGATCTTTACCTGATGACACATATAAATCAGGGGCGTGCTGGCCCCGAAGGGCCCCGTAGGTTGCCGAAGGCGACCCGCGCAGCGAAGGCGGGCCACTGGTAGGGGGGTCTGGGTGGGTTCTCCCCCCAGAAAATTTTTGAAATTTGACAACGGGAAACGCGTTTTGCAAGCACTTCTGGGAGAAATCTAGGTATCATATTTTCCAAATTTATGCTGCTATTTTGACTATAAGACATACTACTGTACTACACAAGACACTCATGACAGGTCTGTTTAATATAATGCTAATACAATGTATTTCTATCCAAATAATAAATTGCATCTTATACATATCGAGGCATGAATACATGTATCAAAGACCATTTCACCTTAAGATGACAGACATTTGCACGTCAGCATAATATATTTTATTAATCGTTGTGTATGTATGATTTTTCCCGTGCGCACTCTCAATTTTTTGAGGGGATTCCGCGTGAAAATTAGAGCTCTCAGGGGGGCCCGCTTATACGGGTGGACTTATTGTTTAATGGGGGCCTGGGAGGACACTGTCCTCCTAAACTCCCTGCCAGCACGCCCCTGATATAAATTAAACCCTGGTAAATTTTCCAGACCTTTAAACCATGTGCAATTCATTTGTTACAGATTTTAACAGTTAACTGACACATTTCTAAGATTTAAACTTGATGTACGCTTTGATTTTTAGAGATCAAGTTGTTTTTGAGAATAGCAAAGTCATTTAGTTAATATAGTCTGGTAGCCTTTAGATGGTATTGAAGATATGACTTCTTAATGCCAAGTAACTCTTTGCAATGGAAATAGGTGTCTCATGGGAATGGTAACACTCAATACCAGCTGGAGTTATATGTCATGTAGTTAATGAATGTGTACTAGGATGCTTTGTTTGTTTTTCTTAAACATAGTTCTATCATTATTATTGTCAATAATTAATAACCAAGGTTGATATATATTTACGTGTGGTTAACACTATAATTGGAATCAGTAGTTGCTGTAATTAAGATACATTATGTAAGATTTAGATAAAGAGCTGGCCATTCTTGCTATAATAGTTCAAAAATAGATAATGCAAAATGAATATATTGAAAATTTCATTCAAATTACTATATTTTGAGCCAAGTTATCACTGTTTGTAGTTTTGACAAGATGTGTGCATTGATTGTTTATTGTCGTAACCAAAGGTACTGGTATACTCAAGACTTAGGCTTGATTTCGATTTTGAATTAAATCATTAAATGGCCAAACTGTTCTAACCTAGTAAAAATCCGATGGCATCGAGAGTTGATTGTCATGTTAATAAATGTCTAATTGATAATTTATGTAACATTTAAGGCCTAAAGAAAGACGTGCAGTAGGAAAATTTAGCTCATGAATAATGTATCTTTAACTTTATATAAATGGTTAAATGATCTGTTCCAGATAGAATAGATAGATAATTGATGACACGTCAGTAACTGGAATCTATATAGTTGTCAGCAGCTTGATTCAACTTTTATAAAAAAATTAAATTGCCCCATTTAAGTGTTAACCTTACTTATATCAATACTACCAGATCTTTCAATATGGTATCCCTAGGCTTAAAAATGGCGATGTTTGCAGTATACTGGTCAAGTTTGGTTATTTTTATGTGTCAAAATTAACTGTAAATTATGTCTCTACCGTTTTCAATTGACAATTGGTTGTTCTGGTTCCACCAGTGATGGCTTTAAAGCAATCATTAATTTTGTGTATTGACATCTAGAAAGTTAGTGCTGAACAGTAGGACATTAAACCCTATACAATTTCATTTCATTTTTGTCACTGTTATATATCTATTGTTAGATTATAGAAATAGATAGACTTGAATGAACACTTGAATTACAATTTTTTATACATCCAACAGTGTATCTAAGATGTTTTTATTTACATTTTCCTCTGCCTAATTCTTATCATGACTACATAATAAAACCCTTATCAAGATGCTTTAAATAAAGAATAAATATATTGTATCTATAAGAGCTTCATACTTATAGTGTAGAGCATTTAGAGCAAATGATCGATGAGAGTTGAACCTATTGACTTAATCTTCCCTTTGATAATATGTTTAAAAGCTTTGATCATCCAAATGTTTAATCAGTTCAGAAAGCAATAGATTGAATAAGCATCCTACTTGACAGGAAAAACTAAATCTTTTATTACTTCCCAGCCTTTCAACCAAGAAGAACAAAGCTAAATAGAAGTTTTACAATGTGTACTTGAATATCTATTGTTATTCAGTTTTTAGTTATAAAACATATAGACTTTTTTTTATAAACTTTTCTGGTTGGTGCCATGCTGCAAGACGTTTCTGGTATCTTCCTTAATCCCTTATAGTTCAGTAAGTTTTGCTTTACTTGTACATAGGTTATAATCAGCTTATGTTATAAATGTATTATTTATACCCCCCCAAAAGCTGGGAAATCAAAGTCTTTATTCTAATATTTTGATCTTTAATGTTTTCTATTCTATTTTATTTCATAATTCAGTGTGGCTTAAAGGTTTCCATCAAGTGATGAAAGGGAAAATACTGGTAAAAGTCAAGGATTAGTAACTCATACTGGAAGTGTCCTACGGTTAATTAGGTAGCACATTGGAACATTTTTATGACACTTGAGACTACAGAAAAACTTGTATTGGTTGATATTTATTCTTAGAAACATTGTTGACAATTTTTGATTAATTGAACTAAGATCAAGGATCAGATTGCATAAGTTGTCGAATATGTTATTGAATCCAGCAAAAAAAAAACAAAGAGGAGAAATTTATTTTGAAATCTTTGAAACTAATATTTTGCTGTAGTGATAAATATGTCTCTAAATGTGTTCTTCTGGAATGAAAATTAAAGGGGGGGGGGGGCTTATGTCGCCCTTGCACTGTGCAATCGGTTAAGGTGCAACTGCCAGGATGGAAAAGGCAACGTAAGCAGGTCACAAATTTTATCTCATTTTGACTAATCTTATCCCTTAGATATTGTACGTATTCGACCGTAACTTCATGGATTTATGACCAATGTTTAGGTCATATGTTATTTTATTATTTTTTGTTATACGCCCACATTGGAAATGTGGTCGTATATTGCCGTCGACCCCGTCCGCCCGTCCGTCCACAATTTCTTGTGAACACTCTACAGACTACATTTATCCTCTGATTGTTTTGAAATTGATATATTTTGTTTACATTAGTGAGATGGAGAAGCCTATTGATTTTCAGCGATTTCCAATAATTACTTCCAGAGTTATGGCCCTTGATCACTTTGAAAAATTGTGTGGCGACGCTCTAGAGGCTAAAGTTAATATCCGTGTTTAAGGTGTTTATACACAGTGTTTAAGGTCATAAGATGAAGAAGTCTATTGATTTTCAACGATATCCGATAATTACTGCCATAGTTATGGCCCTTGATCACTTTGAAATATCTTGTGGACACTATAGAGGCAAAAGTTGATATCCGATTGACTTTAGATTGATAAACAGAGTTTAAGGATCTTGAGACGAACAAGTATATTGATTTTCAATGAATTTTGATAACTTGAACAGATAAATCCATGATATTAAATGTTTTGTATATTAAACATTAGCATGGGGCAGAACTAAAATCCAAACAAATTTTAATGATTTTATGATAATTACTTAATGAGTTGTTACTCTTAATCAGATTTTAGTGTATTATAAATGTTTCATTACTGACAATAGAAAAAATATGCGACAACTCTTGTTGACTCCTCGGACGACTTAGCTGCTGTCGGCGTATGTTTCGTTGCCTGGCAACCTATCTTTAATTCTGTTTTTAATTTCAAATCTATATTTTAACATTCATTAATGCTTAGTTAGTCATTATAGACAGACAGAAATTAATCTGTCAGTCAATTTAAATTATGACGGGCTGGCAACTAAAGTGATTGATCTGTTAACTTTCTTGAACTATTGTTTTATATTCATCATGAGAGATTAGATAAAGAGCTGGTAGTTCTGAGTTCTGACTATAATAGTTAAAAAAACTAGATAATGTAAAGGGAATTTGCTGAAAATTTCAGTCAAATTGATCCACCCTGAACCGAGAATTTAGCGATAGAATTTTGGACCTAGCCTCGATCGTCATTACTAAAGTCGGTACGATAAAAAACATAGTCTCGATTATCGATTTTTTGATTTAATGAGAAGCAGCAGACCAGGTTCTAATCCAGTAAATATCGCAGGCTAGCGATGCCATCAAGACTTGATTATGGTCTGGATAAGTTAATTAATGTCTAATTAATAATTCAGATAACACTTCAGGCCTAAAGAAAGACCTGCAATTGGCAGATTTAGCTCTTGCATAATGTATGTTTAAGAAGACTTAATCCTTCAATAATTATATGTTTATGTCAAACTAGATTATGTAAAAAGACATATGTATATAAGATGAATCATTAGTTGAAGAGACCAGCTTAGGGAACCTATATACTAGTTAGAGGTCCGA